GTTAATTGCTTCATCGCAGCCCACACCTTGTGGGCTTGTGACTAAAATTGCATTGATAGCACACCGATGTTTTAAGTGCTGCTGAACAGTGCTTGCAGGGTGTCAAGGCTTCCTCTGTTCCTCACTCTGCCCCCCTCAAAGGAGCAGGCTGGTGGGGGCAAGAGGCTGGGAGGGGACACAGCCAGGACAGCAACCCAGACTGACCAAAAAGATATTGCACGCCGCGCAATGCCAGGCTTAGCGATAAAACCAGGCATTCGGTCTTTCCAGAGCAGCCACTATTTGGAGGCTGACTGGGGATCGGTCTGCTTGTGGGAGGTGATGAGAGACTGCCTTTTCATCACCTTGCCTCCCCCCACACCTCCTCCTCACTTTTTAAGCTGCTTTTATCTTGACCCACAAGTTGTCTTGCTTTTGCTCTTTTGAGTCTCTCCCCTATGCCACCCTGGGGCAGTGAGCAAACTGCTGGCTGGAGTGAACACACCACACACTGAGAACTGGAAATAATCACAAGCATACTGATGGTCAAGTTATAAATTAACCTGGAAGTGTTAGAGATTATGGCACTTTTTTGCCGCTCCCGCCCGTTTTTTTTATTATTTGGTTTACCTGAATTATCGCATGGGTAGCAGGGGAAAAAAAAAACAAAACAAAACAAAAAAAACCATGCATATCTTTTTCTTAATTTTTCTCCTGAAATGAAGAGATTTTTAGAAAAAAAAAATATTAAATACACTAGCTTTTTCTGAATGCCAAACCAACTATATTGCAAACATAATTACTCATATCTAGACGCAGGCCAAATTTAGGAAAAAATAAGAGTTGGTTTACAGGTAGGTGTTCGATACAGGGTAGGCAGACTGCTATGCCAGCTGAGGCTGGGACTGTGTCGACAGATTTGGCCAGCAGTCAATAAGCTCACCCAGACGTTATGGCAGCAACCTGACTCTGGCAATATTTTAATATTCATTCATCTTTGCTTACCTATTTGTTCCCATATTTTTCAGGCCTCTGAGTGAAGTTCAGGCTGCCGAGATCAACCATGCCGATGTCAACAGAGTAAGAATGTCACTGTCAGAAAACTGTAGCGAGAATCCTAGCTTGCAGGCATAATTACAACTTCAGTACAAAGTTCATAACTATTTTTCTTTTAATAGAAGCAAACATGGGTTTTTTAATTCAGAGAGAAAAAGCCACGATTTGAGAAATGTGTGATGATTTTCACTGTATACATTTTAATTTATGCATTAAGACCTTTTGACATTATGCTGACAGGAGCCCAATACTCTTTCTCAACATGATAGATCTTACTCCTTTTGAAGGTGCTCCATTTTCACCAGAAAAGCAGTACCCCCAGCAACGTAGGAAGCTACGCAGGTGTGCACCCTGCTTTTCCTTACTTAGGCCTTTCTAGAGCAACAAAACAAGAGGCGCGCACTGACACACAAAAGCATCCGTGCCAGCTGCCCTGCCTGACGTGCTGCTGATTTTAACGCTTTATCATTGAATCAATGTCACCTCTTTGAAGCCGTAGCCTGAACAAAGCGTACTACTTAATAGTCATAGCAGCTCTTTGGAAAGAAATTTTTTTGTAATAAAAAAAGTGATTAAAAAAACCTGTGTGTGCTTTGGGAAATACAGCCACAGAGGCAGCGCATGGGAGACCTTCAACTTGAACATATTTCAGCGGAAACTGCCTGCTGCCCTCCTACATACAGAAGGGCCTGTGCATGCTTAAACCACAATAAAAGGATGCCACAGCACTGCCTTTGCTCCTCAGTGGTAGACAAGAGTGAGAAGTTGTTATATTCATGCAGGGCAAGGCTCAATCTGACTAACAGCAAGCAGACTTTTTTTCCAAATAAAATAATCTGAACTACCTGGGGTCAACTTACCCACTGGCCCTGACCTTCCCCCTGCAGAGAGAATGCAGCAGCTGCACAGCCTCCATCTAAACTAGAAATGCCTGATTTGGAGTGTTTCTGCTGGTTAAGCTGTGGATGAGCAGGGGAGGAGCTCAGAGCCTCTCATCCCTTGTAAGACTCTTCACTTCCTCGCTCCACGGCTTTGCTTTGGGGCAGCGAGAATGCCAGAATTGAGCCCAGTTTTCCCCTTCTGTCAGTGGGGATAACCAGAGAAGGCTCAGGAAGTTCTGGGGACTGAGATAGCTGGATGAGATGTCAAGAAGAAAAGGGAGGAGTCTTTAAAAAAAAAAAAAAAACAAAAAAAAAAACCAAAAAAAACCACCAAACTTCTCTCTGCCCTCTCTCCCTCTGGTAACACCTCTCCTCGCCCCCATCACCAGTCACCACATCAGCTTCTCTTCTCTAATTAAATGAGTCTGGAGCTGGCTTGGAAAGAAAGCCAGCAACTACGACACAGAGAAGTTTCTTATTAGCTCGTGTGATGAAGTAGGAGCCTGTTTGGTCAGTTGGTGGCTTAACCTACTTTATTTTAATGAATTATCCATGAGGTGGGATACACAGAGGTGCCATGTCAACAAAGTCTGAGATCATCACCGTCATCATCACACGAGGTTTGAAATTAGTTCTAAGTGGCAGAACTTTGTGTGGAGTTTAACAAAATGTGTATAAGCAACAGCCAAAATAAATTATCATGTTCTCCCCTGCAGAGGTGTACCAGTACCTGCCTGATACTGTGAGGAGCGCCAGCATGGCATTCCACCACACTGTACATGAACTAATTACAAGGAAAATTATAAACCGTGATTTTTTTTTTTGATTCAGAAAAACATTGAAATACGTGAACTGTGACATCTGCTGCTCAAACAATCTGCTTAAGAAATATATCATTTTTTTAACAATGGAAGAGCTTTGTAATCTGTTCAAGGGTGGATTTTTTCCATGAAAATTCATCTTATAGAACTATTTTCTGTGAAATATTAATTAAAATTAACAGATTGTAAATATTAAAATGCAGATCATTACTGAGACCCATGTGGCATAATTGCAGCATTAAGAGCTGCTCTGAAAAATCAAAGGGTCTGACCCCTGATGCTTTCAGCCAAGTCCAGAAACTCTGAAACAGTTTAGTTTGCTAACAGTTTTCTAACATTTCTGGTAGCAATGAGATTTGCTTGACAACACCCTTTGCCTGGAATATACTTTTGATATCTGAGACAAGCCTGACGTTTCCACTTCCTATTTAATTTTTAACTAACTGCTGCTTTAAAGTTCTAAGCCCAAATTTCCTGCCCCAAGTAAACCAAATCTCATCATTTTTTACTTTCATTTTCCACTTCTGCTTTTCTTTGCCGGTCAGATCATTTGGAGCTAAGCCCCAGTGGCACAACGGGCTTCCTCACCCTACAGTTTCCACATTTGCTGTACAATTGATCATCACTTCCTCTTACATGTCTGAATAAAATAAACTTCAAGGCTACGCATTAAAATCTTCTAAAAATAGCACCATGTCTGCTCTCTTGCAGCTAGAGCAGATCTCTGATTTCAGTGCTGGAGATGAGGAAGCATCTTGCACAGTCTCTGGATGAAAGAAGAAACTCGGTGACTAATACGCTGTAAGAAATAGGCACATTCCCAAGAGGGAGCCTGGGTGGAATTTGACTCCATGATATCACAAATTATAAAACAAAACAACTTCCTTTTCAGTCTCAGTGCTACTGTCATTCAGAGCACAGCTGAAGACAAAAATAGGGCAAGAGGCTTCTCCCTCCATTTTCCCCTCAAGCCTGCAGCTCTCTGGGGCTGGGGGGAGAGCGGGAACCTTCTTAACAAGGGTACACATTTCCTCATGAGGACCAGGTAACAGCCTTGCAGCAAGTAGCATGGCACTGCTGCCCTAGGAAGACCCAGAAAAGAAAGGGCCCTACAGCAAAGGCCATTAGCAGAGAACACCAAATAATTTATACATATATATGTTATTTTATATATGCAGAAATCATACATATACACATACATGTATAAATATATATATAAATAATTGCAGCCAGAAAACCCCACTTACATCAGAAGGTGATCTCTGGTCCTGATACAATTGTGTTAGGAGAACTTGCAATAAATATGCTTTATTCATGCTATGAAGCATTTTAGGGTTTTTTTAAATAAATCTATTTTAGTTACGCATCTTGACATGTCCCCCTCCTGCACAATGGCTGAAGTACCTTTGACAGTGGGATTTGTTGTGAGTTTTTCACAGGGATTCAAAATATGAATGTGCTGCTTATTTGTGTGGCGGATGTGCATCTACAGCCACGCTCACACGTTGGTCTGACTGTTGCGTGTGTTAGTAAGATTTGAAAATAAGACCTAGACCACCAGTAATACCTTCCCAGAGCCTGTATCTTAGAGCTAATCCCACAGCTTCCCACCGGAGCACTCATTTCCCTCGTGGCAGATTAAAATACAGAGCTCACCTCAACTATCACATACCTTTTTTAGACTTTAGTCTCCTATTAATTAATTTCCAATGAAGATTTCTTTTTAAAGTGAAAAAACTCTAACAAATAGTGTTAAGAAGTAAGACCATACAGAAACCTACAACTAGTTCACCGTGTTCAACCAAAACTACTCATTGACCAAGTCTGTTTCTTCACGTTCATAGGAAGTTTTATGAAGAGAAAATTCCAAGAAACAAACTTTTTTCCTTAGTTCCTCTGACAAGATTAACTATATTCTGCTTCAGCAATAGAAGATTAAAAAAAAATAAAATCCCCATTAAACCACAAGCCACTTGGAGTGCTCTTCTTGTCTTTTCCCAATGTGTTAATCGGATACTTCAGCTTTTCGGTGACCCTGAGGAAGGGAGAACATTCCTTTCGACCTCGCTGCTGTGTTTTTCTGATTACACTGGCAGGCCTTTTTGCCTAGCAGCAATCCAGGCAGAGCCGGCTGGTTTGGCGCAATCTGGAAGGCTGTTGTAATAACAGACAGAACAAAAAGCACAAGGAAGAGCCTGGCGGCTGTATAAAACTCCCTCTGAGCTCTGGTCCCTGCAGAAGTGCAGCGGTGGCAGCAATCAGCATGACCAGCCAGTCTCAGGGAATCCAGCAGCTTCTGCAGGCAGAAAAACGTGCCAAGGACAAACTGGAGGAAGCCAAAAAAAGTGAGTAGCTGGCCTGCTTTTATTGCAGTTTTCTACTGCAAGATCTTTGGAATTACAGTGGCTCACAGAAAAACAACATTATTTCACCTGTGTACCTCACAGCTGTGCTGCTGCTGTTCTTTTTTCTCACTTGCATTAGCGCTGTGCCTTGACTGCAGCCAGGCATTTAACCAAACCTGAACATTCAGAGTTTGCTTAGAATTCTGCGTGCACGCGTGTGCTTGTGCATGTGCGCACGTGCCTTATTACATTACACAAGGTTTTCTTTGTTATATTCATTCCATCAGCTAGATTTATTCTTGCTTTATCTCAATGCCAATAATGTCATTACAGGCTTCCTTAGGTATTTAAACTAGAAGCCTACACGCCTCTGGCTGCCAGCTCTGGATGCCCAGACTCCAAACTCTCTATTTCTCTTTACAGGTCTGGTATAAGTTTTTCAGTGTTCCTCTTCACTTACAAAATCTAGTAGCTTGCCTTCTAATGTCAGCTGGGCTTCAAAAAAATTATATGAAAACAAAGGAAGACTTCAGCAAAATGATAGTAATGAAAGTCGGGGTGCAATCACAAGAACTGTCAGTTCTGTGATAGGTCATCCATGTAAGCCTTGTTACTGGGTACAAGCAATCAGCAAGTGATTAAGTCTTCAATTTGAAATAAAACTCGTTTGCTAAATGCCTAAATGCCCAGGGTAAAGCATGCACAGATATCCAATAATAACAAATATATATATTTTTATTCTAGACAAATATAAGCAAAAAAGTAATAATAACAAATATAAAAATGAAAGTGTCTGCTAGAATAATTTCAAAGAAATAATTCTCCTGTCAGTCTTTCCATTATCTATTTCCTTCATTTTCTGCAGTCATCTCCCAGTGATTTAATGCAAAATATGGTGACCTTATTCTCCTGAATGTAGGTACCAACCACATAAGTCACTGACCTACATTGACAGTGAAACATTAACACTGTTTCATAGAGTTATCTTGATTTGGGAACCAGCAGCAGGAAACAACATTGTCCTGCAGGACTGAGCACGAAGATGATGTCATACGCTGCATGAGTGTGACGAAGGAATATATTTTCTTTTCCATAGAAACTAACAAATTATTTTTGTAGTTCCTATAACCCTTCTACACAGAAATCAGCATTGCTGTGTGTTCAATAATCATTAGTGTGATATGTTAATTTCTACAACAGCACACAGGAAATAAGTAGGAAGGCAATATCCCTTCCCTGAGCAGCCAGCCACTGTCGGTGCCTTGTGAAAGGAGCAAGGGGGGGGAGAGGAAAAAATATTTCCCATCTTCATAAAAGACAAGACCCATAAAAAGCTGTTTGAAAGCCTGAAAGCAAGGAATAATTAAGTGATTCAACCTTTACAATTAAATGAGGTGCTCTCAGTGGGATGGATCTTCCCTTCTCACGTGAGGCAGAGGAAACGCACTGATCCCAGCAGCGAGAAAGAGGATGACCTGGAAAGGCACAGCCCACAGTGGAGGGAGTGGGGGTTTGGTCTGAACACAGGCTGCAGAGTCAGGCCTTCAGCTGATAGCTTGGCATTCATTACCCTCTACTTTTGGTTTTGAATTTTTTTTTGTTTGGTTTGCTTTTGTTTTTAAAGCCAAAAAATGCAGATTTGCTTCTTCTAAACCAAACAGTTAAAAAGAGTTTTCATAAATTTAGAAACTCAAAAAATGAAAAGCGCCATTACAACATAAAAGTAATGACTAAAGTCAAGTGTCTTGTGGAATCCAGACATGGTTACAGGTGCATTTACTCAACTCTGCAAAAAGCACATTTCCCTGTCATCACCTCAGCCCCACACAGAGTGCTTGTGATAAGCACAGGGCGTCTTACAGATAAAGCATCTTCCAGACACCTCTGGGTCAGAAACTTGACATAAACCACTGCCTACACCTACCAGTGGATTAATCTTGAGGTAGGACTAATTCAGCAACTACAGAAAAACAGCTATTAAGAATTTTGCTATCGGTAAAAATATTTAGAGTAAAAATATTTCATCAGTATGACATTATTCTCTATTACTTTTAAAGCCAAACTTTTTTTTCCTTTCTAAAAGTTATGAAGGAAAAAAAAAAATTCTTATGCATAAAAATCTGGGAAAAAAAAAAAAAAAGGTGGGAGAGGGGTAAAAGACAGCCAGACTCCAGTGGTATCCAGTGAAAGGGCAAAAGACAATGGCATAAATTTAAACATAAGAGGACAACTGTGAGGGAGGTCAAACCCAGGAACAGGCTTGCCCAGAAATGCTGTGGAGTCTCCATCCCAAGACATTCAAAACCCACTGGATACGGCCCTGATCAAGCTGCCCGTGCTGAGCCTGCTCTGAGCAGGGCGTTGGGGTGGACCCCAGAGGCCCCTTCAGGCCTCAGCAGCTCTGTACAATCCCATGAAAAACCTCAAGCATTTCTAAGAGATTTTATTCCTAGGTATAGCAGATCAAGCACAAAAAGTTCAAATAACTGCTAAAGTGGCATATTCATCTGTAGCCTAAAGACTTTGTTGGATCTTTTTGTTCATGTTAAATACTGCCAACAGTTTCTACTAGGGTGTGAACAGCAAAGCTCTTGTGAATTTTAGACCCCATGGATCACACAAACAAGGTCAGGCCTTAATGTTTCCAATTCAGTTTTTAATAAGGACTACTCCACCCTGGGGTTTGTGATAAACCAAGCATTACAGCTAATCCAACAGAATAATTATACCTAGAAAATCATTATTATATGCAACATGACAATAAGTTTGCAGTCAATCTACAAAATAAAAACTTTCACATTTCCATTTTGTCCTTAATTTCAATATTTTTCATAGCAATGTCACTACGCCACCTTAGATATGTGACTATACCAGCATAACTTAAATACTCTGGGACAAGGTCAAAAGGGATTCTTCTCACACCAAATCCAGTTATGCCAAGTCAGAATAACTCAAATAGTCTCTTCCCCAGAGTGATTCTGTAGTTAGATCAGCATAAAGGATTGCTTAGTGTGTCTCTGAGCGTAAAAACTAAAATAAAAGGAAATACACGAAAGGCAACCATTATATCCAGTGCAATCGGTTAACCTGTGCACACATAATTCGGAGAAACAAGGCGAGGACATGCTGCTTCACCCCAGGAAACACCAGCCCAGATCCAGCTGGTACCAGTTCAGATCAGCAACTTCTGCTCGGGGCCCGGCACTGTGGATCTGGGCTGCAAGTGAGAGCAATGAACCCGTCCAGCGAGTACCAATGCTGTCCCCTCCCTGCTAAATCAAACCTATGACCTCTCCTTTGTCACCCCAAACAGCCATGGCACGGCACCACTGTACTAACGAGCCCAACTACTCTATTTACATTGTAACATGAGAGGAACACATGGGACACAACCAGGAAAAGCCATTTTCAAGGAAATGTCATAAGCAAATCTACCCTTACACAAACCCTTCAGTGTTTACAGTTGACACTCACATAACCAGATCAAAATGTAGCGTGAACACACATAATATTGTATATAAACAGATAATGGGCTGAGTTTTTGCTGACATATGTGCAGCTGTTTGCAATGCAAAATCCACTTTGGAGAACTGAAAAATTAGCAAATAAAACTGTATTTATAGACATGAAGCAAAGCAAAAATATAGTGCTAAAGCTCCTCTGTTCGCACTTTTTCATAATTCTTGTTCAATACCCTTTATTCTGGCTTGCAATAACTTTACTGTATCTTTGGCTGATGTAATTTATACCTGACAAATTATTAATGGTTTGTTGGTAAATGCACACATGCAAGGCTGAAACTAATAAACTGATTAAACATAAACCAAAACAGTCTGCAAACCTTTAGCTTTTTATACACAGCACTGCTTTATCTATCATTTTTGCTTTAAGCATAATTCAGATCCCAGAAATAACTAAACATTGTAAGAGCCAAGACATCAATTCCCGAAAATCCTTTTGGGTAAAACAAGGGAAACAAAAGCGCCATGAACACTGGGGGTAGCAAAACTAGTTTTCCTAAAGAGTTTTGTATCTTGGTTTGAATTTGTAGTGTCTAATAAAATGAAAACTCAGATGAAAGACTTCAGGAAATCAGATTAAAAACAAATGTTAGTCAAAATTAGATATTGTAAGCAGAATTATATCCATGGCGCTTTCTTGGATAATATCCAGAACGTCTTTTATCTACTGAAAAAACTATACATACCGATCAACTGCTTCTATTGTATTTTATTGAAAGTGCAAAATAGTCTTCTCAAAATGAGCATCCCTAAATCCCATTTTGCAGCAAATTTAACACTCTTGAAAACAACTGAAATGGTCCTATTTAAAGAAAATATGATTAATTTTGGCAACTTCTTCATATGACATGATTTCTATGCAGAAATTCAGCTAGAAGCTCAGATGATATGTTTAAAAACAAAAAGCCAATTTTACCATGGCAGTTTTTGGAAAGTAAGGTAACTTAGTGTTGGAGTAAAGTAGAATGCAACATTTTTGCTTTCTGCTGTCTTTTTCTTGCAACATCTAAAAACCCCAAACTACCTAAAAACTCAGCAGTTCTTTTGGATCTAACCAGATCTAGGTATTTCTTTAACATCACAGAAATACCTGGAAAGAAGAATACAACTTTTCTCCATGCTGATAACACCTTCCCAGGTTAGATAAAAGAATCTACTACTGGGCTGACTTGTTGGTTAAGAAAGTTGGTTAAGATTAGGCCAATTTAACATGACGCCTAGAAACGTATAGGCTGTCAGCTACTGTAATCATGGACAACAGTGGACAAGGAAACCAGGCATAGAACATCGGCTTTGCTGCTCCTCATCTTCAAGGATGGGAAGCAGGGACACAGGGGGAGCAGCAAACCTGGCCCCCACAGCATACCCTTCGGGGCAAAAGTCTCTTCAAACTTGGAGCTGCCCATACCTCACCATTACGATCCTAGAGGAAATGTCGTAGGGACAGGTTGGTTTGCCCATTCTCCTGTATATCTTGCCCGCTTTTCGCATGATCTTGGCTGAATTTCGATGCTTTGCCACCCTTCAGTGTGTAAGGTTTGATTCCAGCTCGGCTGCGCTCTGCAGAGTATCCCATCCAGAAGACCAGTTAAGACTTTGAAAAGGCAATCCCGTATTGCACAACTAAGGTAGCAGACAAGTGGTTAATAACAGACTGATTAATTAATTTTGGTTTGTCTCTAGTGAAACAGCAGGTTAAGCTCTAGTTTCTGCTTTACTCAATCAGGTGCAGCATATGCACTATCGCATATGTTGGCAGTTGCCGATTCTGTCCACAACGTTGTTGAACTAGCAGTAATTTACTCACAGCTTTTCCACTTAATTAAATAGGAAGCAGCAGGTTCCTGCTGTGCCAATCCTAAAGGCATCATGGAAAAATGAAATGGCTGCCACCCTACAGTGACACCCTATGTATTGTGCTTACTCCTGTGCACTGTCAAGAGCTGACATGTATGTATATATATACTTTTTGGTTCACTAGCTACATTGTCAGAGGCAAATGAACTGTTGTTTTACAGTTAATCTCTTTCCATTTTGTGCATTTTAAATGGATTTATTTATCTATCCGATGGCCAAATATGCAACATATTTACTACAGATGGCCCCCCAGATGGAATTTGAAATTAAAATCCCACTGATTTTGAAATAATTTAATTTGCTATAGAGATCCAGTTCCTCAGCTGGTGAAATTGGCAGAGCTTCGTTGTAGTCACTCCCCGCAACTTCCAGCTCCAGAGAATTACCCCACAGCTCTGCTCCTGGAGGAAGACTCTTTAAAAGGCTGATCAGCTCCAAACTGAGGGGAGAATAAGGGAAACTTCAAAATACAGACCTAAACCTGGGTCCAAATTTTGTTGTCCAGACTGACGTCAGGCTCGTACACAAATCTGTCAGTTCACACATACTGGTCCCAAGACTTCATACACTGAGTGACAGAAGCTGAGGGAATCAGGCCTTACCAAACAAATACAAACTCTGAGAAAGCGCACGCTAGGTTTTAGGCTGCCTCTCTGCCCCTTTATACATAAGCACAGTGCCTCAGCAGCAGAAGGACTCCAAAAAATATAATTAACTACACAAGAGAACACCACAGTAGTGGAACTGAGAGTTCCTAACGCTATGTAGTTCCTCACCAGGTTGCTCCTTCCTGTAAAAAACCTTTATATACATCCCAGATCCCACAATAAGCATGTGCACAAAATCAAACAGTCCAGGAACCAAGACTTTAAAAGGTAATTCACATTTCAGACATCTCTCTGCTTCTACTCACCCATCTGCAGATAAAAACTCTAGGAGAAGCCATCAACTGGGCAAATAATTTACTGCTGGTTCAGGCATTTTACCCAGGCTTTGTTGAATCTCAGATGTATCAAAAACAGCAGTCTTACTCCTAAGATTCAGCTTCCTCATCGTGCCATGCTCACTGGAAACAGATAGCTATATGCCACACCTGATAAGGCTTCAGATGCCCCGCACAGGTGTAACCAATCCAATGGAGCAGCCTGGAGAAAATAAATCAGAATTACTTATGCTCATCTTTCTAGCCTAGTTGGAGAATGTTCCTTGGGATTTCAGAAAAGGCACTGTTTTCAACTTTCATGCTTGAATTGAAAGATTTAAAAAAAAAAACAAAAACAAAACAAAAACCAACCTTACAAGAGTATTCATATTGCTTAGTGATGTTAAGAACATAGTTGCAGTAAGTAAGTAAATAAATAAATGGATGTTTCACGCATCAGTTCAAGATGCCTTTTTCAGTTTCCTAGCCTCCTCTCTCTCATTCTTGTGATATCCTAATTTAAGCAACTAGCCAATAGCTTTTTCAGCCATTAAAGACATGTCTGCCGTTAAGAAAAGGAAGCAAGCTTATCCCCTTCCACTCCCAAAATTCTAGCTGTACAGCAGAAAGAGACCCCGAAAATCAGCATCAGCCCAGGTGCCTCAACTATAACATATCACCTTTCAATACAAGAGGTTTACAGCCCTGTCAGTTAGCGACTTCTTCCTCACAAAGTAGTGTAGCACAGTCCTATGGAGATCCATGCAACTTTAATGAAATTATTCTAAACAAGCAGACAGATGTATCACCATGGGGTGGTTACGACACGTTCAACACTTGCTTCATGTAAAAAATTTTTAATCACTTTCACATTTTCTGTGCATTCGTAGACAATACCATTGACGTCCTTTTTCTCTTAATCATTCACCTCTTCATTCAACAAATGTTAGGAGAAAAGGGTGGGGGAGAAGAGGACAAAGCCTGAAGGTTGCAATTCAGTTTGGTAGTGGTTAAGACATATCTTGCAGTACTTTGGAAGTCTGCCAGCTGTAAGCAGAATCCAGTTGGTGTGGGATGAAGGGATGCTGGCAACCAATCAATACAGCAAATCTTACAGAATAACGTCTTTTCCCATCAGTGACAACTAAAATCTGTTATCTGGCTGCTACTATTGCTGATGAAGGAAAGATAGATATTTATTTAAACACCAAGCTGTGATTAAAAAACAAAAAAAAAAGCATTTATGTTATGAGAAAATGTGTAGTTGCAAAAAGACTTGTGTTGTTAGCAAACCAACAGGCTTTTTGTTTGATGTTTGCTTTTGAACAGGGAGTTGGTCTCAGAAGATGGGTACCTGTGTAACTGGCTTTCAATCAAAAAGTACCCTACCTAAATCACTTCAGCTCTTCTGACCATTCTTGTGTAAATAAAGCTGCATCTGACTTTGCTTGAAGCTTTGTCCGGTTTACTATGCCATGTAAAACACCTCTGATTTAGAGAGATTCATCTTTTGGGATACAGTGACATGTGTGAAGCAAACCCCTGTTTCTTGCCCCATTAGGAAAGGAAAAGAGGCTGAAGCAGGCCAAAGAAGAAGCCATAGCTGAGATAGACCACTACAGGTTACAGAGGGAGAAGGAATTCAGGAACAAGCAAACAAATGTAAGTAAGAAACCTGCATATGTTCTTTTGTAGTGTCAATCTGCTCAATGGTGAAACAAATTATTTCAAACAGTGTTACGTGGAGACTTCTGCAAACCAATGTGATCATACTGATTAAACAGAGAGATATCACATATTACATGTACGTGCTTCATTTTGACTTCTTCACAGGCTTCGAATGCATTTGTAGAAGGTGTTGTGGACTTTCAGCACTAAAATTTTCCAGATTTCGTATATGTTTCATGGTTGTCTTTCGAAGACGTACCTCCCTTAAGGAAAAATACCTTTGGGTCCTCTTTCTTTAACTCCAGACAGACCTCATTCCTGTCTAGAAACTGAAGGTTTCAGTGAGGTGGATATTTCAGTAAAAGCAAAGATTTAAAATCTTTGTTTCTATTTCTGTTCCACTTTAGCTGACTTTTTTGACTGCTTATAAGACTCCACCCTTGATGAACTGAAATCACCAAAACTTTGGAGTTTTTCACTCTGTTTTCATAGTAGAAGTGGTCTGGCTGTTATTTTCATGTCTGAATTACAGTACATTTTATACATTTGTGTCATCTTGCAGTTTTCTCTAGTATTTTCATGAAGGCTCACAAACCGTTCTCTTTTTACTTGGTGACCTTCTTACATTTTTGTTCTTGTTTTTTTCCCCTGCTTGTTTTGTGCAAAGGCAACGAAACTACATGTACAAAAGCAGCCACAAAAAAAAAAAAAAAAGTCAAAGAGGTCAAATAAAAACTGCTTTACAAACCTGTCATTTCAGTCACGCTTCACATAAAACATTTTCCAGCAGAGATCACAAGCCTTAGGAACAGATATACACACAAAGTCTCTAAGACAAACTGCCAGCCCCCAAAACACACTGTCACACGGCCAGGCCAGGTAGAATTGTCTCATATGTACAATTTCAGATGTTTACTGACACTAAAATAAAGTAAAAACACCTCTAAAATTTGTCCACCTTTTCATTCAAACCAGACTTCTTGTTTTAGGTCTGAAATAGCCCAAGAGAAAAGATGTTGCTTTGGTGTGAACTCAATTTTTTCATCACAGACATAATTAAAGCTGCGGGGAAAGGCCACTGTTTGTCGACTGAACATTTCACACAAGCAGGACAGAGCACATATTGCTCCTCAAACGACAGCATGTTGTACAAGATCATTGCAATCCTCCTTCACATTCCCTGACCCCATTATGTCGAACATTTATCTACCCAGACGAATGTCATCATTATTAACCTGTGCCTGGAAGGCAGTCAGGAGTAGCAGCTAAGCCAGTGCAGAGGGAAGTCTGATGCCCAGTTCACTTTACTGGCTCAGGTGTTTGGACACAAGTGGTTTTAATTCTTTGCCACAGTCTCATTTAATGCTATTCCTCCTCTTACTTTTTGTTGCTGTATCCAAACTGGAGTAAATTTTCTCATGATGTTCCACATCAGTCCAGAATGAACAACAGCAGCAACAGAACATAACAATTAATTTGAGGTTAGAGCCCCAATACACAAGATCTCTTTACAAAATATACTAAATTTAAGCCCAGCTCTCAAACCAATTTTGCTAGTGCTCGTGGTGTTTGTACTCAGGGTCTGAGATCACTGAACTCTGGAGAAGTGCAGCCTAGTTCTTAATTTTGTGTCTTCCAAGTCAATGTAACATTTAAGCGACTTTGGAATGAAATTAGCATAAAAGCAGTATGGGCAAAATAAAGGACAGACCTTCAAGGTCAGCAGAAATCACAGACTAAGCAGACCATTGTCTGCATTCTGACAAGTAAAAGCTTTTCAAATTCAGAAGCAGAAAAAGAGGGAAAAAAGTACATAGAAGAGTAAGAATCATCTCAAGTTGCAGTATTAGCATGAACTGAGAGAGGAGGTTCGCAGACTTCAGAGTCTCTTCTTAAAATTATAATACTTTTCAAAAGTATTTAGTAGCTGGATAACATGCAAGCATCAGGGATCTCTAGGAAGTTATTTTCCCCAGTGGAAAAAATCAGCTTCATAAATCTGGTATAAGCTGTACAATCTTTCTCACATGAGACCCCTACAACTTTTCTAAAAGCTAAAATAAAGTACCAGCTAAAAATAGTTACTGTGGAAAACTGTAATCTTTTCCTGATATTTACAATTCTGTCTACGTCCTGTATTCCTTCCAAATCGGAAAGTGGCTTACACCTGGATTACCGAAAAACTTCTTACTACGTTGCCAGGTACTTATAAATAGAATTGCAAAGGTAATTTTTGAAAAAGATCTTGACTCGGCTTCTTTTCCCTCTTTTAAGGGCTAAGTTGGGCTGAAATCACATTGAAAATGCAGCGAATGACTCCTCCCTTGTTTCTGGTCATCCTTTAGGTATCCCACTAATATCACAGACTAGCTTCAGCTGCTAGTCCACCCCAGAGAACCATGGCAGGAACAAGAAGAATTTGTTACTTATTCCTTTCTTACTCTGTCAGAGAGTAGAAATGTCTTCTGTTCTCCTCTATGAGATTCTTTAGCTGGAAACCAATTTCTCTGCCGGTATCTGAAGAACTTTTCCGTAAGGGAAGAATTCAAGGGATGTTGGGGTAGTGGAGGAGGAGGGAGCAAAGTCACGGATTTGGAATGTGTGCATCTGTTTATAACATAACCTTGCTAAAATGTTCAGCTAGTCTAGAGTCAATTAAATTCTAAGCAAATGTCCTGATATTAACTGTGCCAGAAGCTGTCTGGTATTTCGCCAGATAAGAAAATGTAACATTAAAAGACCTTGTCTGAGGCCTGTTGAGGGTTATACATCACTAACTGCTGAAGACATTTCAAGTGCTCTGAAACTGTAATTATGCATTGTCAGGAAGGCTTTGCCATGTTTTGCTCCTTAGCCACGCTCACATTCATTCTCAGTGAGGCCAAACGAAGCACACTGGTGATAGAACTTAGTTGACTAGTCATTAAAATAGAAAACAAATTAAAATGAGCGATATAAAAGACAAAACATGTACAATGTTGTTCCCACAGCAAGCTGGGAAGCTTGCGTTACATGGGGAAATTCCCATTGCTAATGAGCATATGAAAGAGTTCCCTTTAATCCTGTTTTTTTGCTTACAGTTCAACCGAGATCATACCCTTACTGTTAGGAAGCACTGTGACATGTTTGTGTTATGTTTATGCTAGATTATGGAGAAGAGTACAATAAACATAGTCATATATAAGTCTCTATTTTGCTCAGAGGACTTCTGCTTTTCAGGTGATGGGCTCCCAAGGTAACCTCTCTGCTAAAATAGAAGAGCAAACGAAGGAAACAGTCCGAAACCTCACTAGCAGCTACCACAAGAACATGGAGAGCATGATGAAAAAGCTTTTGAGCACAATATGTGACATCAACCCTGAAGTTCACCCAAACTTCAGACACACAGTTTAAGATCCATTGATGTGCTGGGAAGGAGGTTTGTAAAAAGTAGCCTTCTTTCTTAATAAGCATAAATATTTCCTCATTTATTGTTTCTGTATGTGTGAGAGAAAAAGAACACTAATGCCAAAAGCACACAGTTCCACATAGGCTTTTGCTGTGACAAGAATTATACAGGGTTTCACAAGCATTTGTTGGAATATTGTTTCCTGTTGGTAGCTAAGCCCCTGTCATTTAGACAGGGGCAAGTCAACAACAGCAGAATAAATGATTATTTGACACCAGCAGCTTTTCAGTGGGAGTCTTTATTCCTTTTCTCTTGTGAAATGTTCTTTACTAGGATGTGGTGTTGCATAAAGTCCATTTATCTCATTTTTTGTTGTAGTTCAAGTCACGTGACACAGAATATCACAAAAACTTGAAATAAAGCATTTGTGTTTTCCTTGTCAGTCATGGAGTAGTCAGGTTATGGAACATATAGGAACTCTGTAGCTTTTGAGGAAAAAGAATAGGTCAAAATATTTTCCACTTTTTTATGTTAATATAAAGCAAAATACAGCTGAGTTATACAGAATTATGTTCAAAAGCTGTACTCTAAACATTGTCCTGTTGTTTAACTACACCACAAACTTTATATAGCTTTCCTAAATCTGAAAAATGAGAACAAGAGTAATCATTATTTACAAAATTGCTTTGGTTCAAGGTGCAGACTAGCACATTCATCATTATCTACACAGTTACACCAAAAGCACAGGAATCCATGGGCTCAAACTCTACACCAGTTACACTAAATGGTACCTTAATCCACAGGTTGTTCACAGAAATCACGTCAGTTAGAGCTCACTTCTGTTATCGTAAGTGGCCTTGAGTAATACTTCCCTCTGCAATGGCACGGATTTCCCTTAGAATAAATTCTACTGAAGTTAGGAAAATACAATATGATCTGGTGCTTTCAAGGTGAAGCTCATTAAATCTGATGGGAGGCACTGATGAAGTGGGGTTCTGGCACACACCTGCATCATGAACCCCCTTAATGCCTTGCCTCCACTACAAAATTACACTGAATTAGAAAAGAAGCTTGAGAAACTGCAATGACTTCCAAACAATAGGCATGATTTTCAGTCCACGTAGACACAGACAAATCATTCCAATTCCACAGCAGCTAGTCATAGGCAATCTCCTGTTCCAGCGAGGTTTACACAGCTGACATGCTGTCATGTGTAAAATGACCGTAAAGCTGTAGTCAACTTAATGTCAGCAAACATGACTCCTCAAGGCTGTGCCTAGATGCTACATAATCTCCAAGCCCTGATTGTTACAGTCTCCAGTGCTTGATTATATTCTCTGGGGATGCAAGGATGCCGAGGAACGGGAAAGAGACTAGAAATCCTATTGACATCAGCTGAAAGGCTCATTTATTTAGGAGTGCTTTGAATCAAGTTGTGATAGGCTTTGATTTACTGCAGGGATGAAGGAAATCCAGTCCCAGCTTATGTACTCGAGCCAACGTGGGCACCCCCCTGCATGGCACGGGGCAGTCCAGACCGCCCCATTGCCGAGGCGCACCTGCCTCCAGTTTGGGTGATGGCTGCAGTCCCAGTGCAGTGCTCAGCAGGGGAGCATATATTTCCCGTGAAATTAAACACTCACCGAAGTGGACACCAGTCTCTCACAAGAACTCACTACAGTGTTCAGGACTGCTTCACTTTCCCTTCCGGGCTGCCTCAGCACCCTTTCCACCAGTTATCGCTTCTAAACATACAGAAATGTCGCAGGTTCAGCTGCGGAACTAAAGTAATGGGGTTTCCATCGCCAGCTGTAGGGGATAACAACACACACCCCTGTACACAGAGAGCAGAATCGCCACAGCCTGGTGGGCAGCAAACCAAAGAAGCAGCTTTTCAGGAGGCCAGCAACCCGGATTACATCAAATAAAGCTTTGTCTTCCTGCATTGCCCTGATGCTTTTTGTGACGTTCCCCTTTTCCCTCATTCTTGCCAAAATCTGTTCTCTGTCACCAACTCTCTTGCAAAGCTTCTGCCCTCCTTTCACGGCTACTCTCTGCCCTTCTCGCCCACTCTCTGCCCTTCTTGCCCTGACAGCCACAAACACATCTCTTATTTAAATCTCCTTTAAAATACTCTATCCCATGAATACACCCTCCTTGACAAAAACCCAAGCACATGGTTGGAGACAGCAGAAGTCACCCCCAGCGTGGACAAGAGCTGCCTGGAGGGGACAGTGCATCTGTACCATCTCTCACGCAGTGCCAGTGCACTGCAATCATGGCAATAGCCTGTCCATACCCTTGCTATCACCTGCACACCTGAGACATAAATAGGGTCTTAAGTAACTTTCTGAATGTGATTATTTTCTTGGCCAGACTGAAGAGGTACGGCTCATGAAAAAGGAATAAATTCATTATGACTTGCTCTTTGATCTTGAAAGATTTAAATCCGAGAGCTTTGAGCACTCTGTGCATTTGCTCTCTTCTACATTCAATCCTACTACTGGACAGGGAAAGGGTGGTTATACCACCACTTGTAGCTGTACAGAGGTAAAGGCCAAATTAGACTTTATGGAATTTGGCAAGATACTGGGTTTTTTTAAATGAAGAGTGCAAAGTACCAGCTGCATCAATGGAATATTGAGGTGCCAAGAAAATGCCTGCTGAATTTACAAGTGCACAAAATATCTTGTGTGTGACATTCACATGTTCAGGATAATGGCAAATAATCATTCCACACAACAGAAAAAGAAATAATAGAAGCAAGGAGGTCTAATTTTAAATGCTTTCGCATGCATAAAAAAAAAAGTGAAAGTGCTTATTCTGCATTAGCAGTTCCCTACCATGAATGATTACAAACAACCAGGTAGATTACCCTTGAGCAAAACAAGCCCGCAAGGTTTAATCATTCAGTTCAATGATGTCTGTAAGGGCCCTGGCCACACACTCCCTTTCCCCTATGACATGCTTCTCGTCATGATTCGTGTTCCCAGCTTGTCCCCAGCCCATCCCAGTGCCCAGGGAGGTGCCCAGTGCTGCCCCTCGCCTGCCCCAGTCCCTGGCTGAGGTGGATCGGGCTATGCCAGCTGCCAGGTCCTGCGCTGCCAGCACCTGGGGAGCAACCCCAGACCCCAGGGAGCCCTCAACCCTCACAGTGCCCTGACACACAATTACCTAATGTGTATCAATGCAATTGCCAAATAAAATGGCAACGTCTCCCATATCACAACACAAGCAAATCTAAGAAATAGGAAGACATATAAATAGCAAGCATGCCTTTGTAAATATAATTTTCATAAATACCTCTGAAATCAGGATCTGAGCAAACCCCTGAAGAGCTCCTGTGAAGGTTTACATCTCTCTGGCCATGCTCTTCCCTTGAAAATGGTGGTTACCTGACCGTGACACCACTTCAGACAGAGGGATTTTCTTCACATCCTTGGAAGCCAAACCCTAGGAGTAACTATTATCTTCCCTGCCCACTGGTAACTGTACACAGCAACAGTGATGATTAGCAGTTTTCACTGCTAATACTGAATTTAGCAGATTCAGTACTTCAATTAGTATCTTCTGGTTATCAACAAATCAATAAAATGAATGGAGCTGATTCAAGGTCTATGTCTGATCCCATCAAAATCAACTGCAAATGACTCACAGCGTGAGACATCGGGACTGAAACAACAAACTTGAGGAGCTTCCTACATTGGCCAAATTCTGCACTGATTTACAAGAGAGGGTTAACAATGCTTTTGCTGTCTGAAAAAGTAGTATTATTTATATATTATATTTATTATACAATAAATTCTAAATCCACTGATTCAAGTGCCTCAAACAGCATGTAGTAGAAAAGGTCGGACCAGTGGAAAGTACAAGAACTGTTTTATACAACTCATGACGTGGTTTGGGCTGAATTTCTCTGGCTGTTTTCCCTGAGTGTTCTCCTTTGAGTTATAATATATGAGGACATAGTGATGGGATTCCCATTCATGGGTGATGAGGGAAGATATCTGATCTCATGCAAGTAAGAGAGAAAATCTTTCAAGTCTAAATAAAATAAAATGAAACAGACATGAAGAATTAACACTATGCTCTATGTAGAGGCTTTCTACCGACTTTGACATTAATTTCTGAATGGCTTGGAAGCTGAGATTTGGAGAGTCAGAACCAGGTATCGATCTATTACATGGATTATGATATTAACTGAAATCAGTTTTCATTCCTTGTATATAGTTGCATCAATTAATTTTTCCAAATTAAAATATGCTTGGAAGTTCATATAATCTGTAAAACATAAGTCATTCTTGTAAATGATCATATGTAGGATATACGTATATGCGTGAAGCTTTTTACAGAACAAAATATTTTGGTCCCTGACTTAAAAGGTTTTGTAGTTCAACGACTATGAGCAATGTCTCCCTATAAGATGGGACTAGATGACCTGCTGTTGCAGAGCTCAGGAACTACAGCAGGACAGGTGACCACTGGCTGCCATGACATACGACCACTGGAGATGTGAAGCCACAGATCTGTACTTTCACGAGCAGCCTTGCCCAGAAGCATCCTTAAATGCAAACAAAGCAGGGAAAGACATCTATGCGTAAGGATTTATTGAGCATCCCCGCAGCAAGGGGCTGTGTCAATCTTCAGGTACACATCTAGGCAGAGGGACACTTCAGACTGAGTCTGGGGATCAAATATAAACATGTTTTTAGGCTACTAAGCAATACCTTGCTACATTTGCAGTGGCATTGGCTAGTAACTATACTGACAGGCAGGTTATACTGTCATCAATTAAAGAAATAGCTATTGTGAAAGAGTAACAGTTCTTTAAAAAGAAACAATGACCCTTGCCCCTATGGTCCCCTTAATAGGAAGACATTACCTTCAACTGGAATTTCTCTTAACTAAAATTGTATGAGAATGTGCTATATATTTCGACTGTGGATTTGGTTTTTTCTCAAATAATAGCATCCAGATTAATCAAATGTTATCTAAACACAGTTCT